ATGACAGGTATTACTGTATTAGTTTATTAATCCTCATCTGTTAGAGAAGGACACTACTAAACATGGGAGACTTTTTTGCTTTCAATTCATGAAGTTATCATGACAAAAATGATCAAACTGTTAAAGGTTACTTTCAATAGTTTAGAAACTGCTCTTACCATTCACAAAAGTGATTGCTCCAATTATGCTTACAGTATCAGATTGAAAATATTCATGCTGATATTTAGTCTGAAGAATGAGCATCCGTGTACCAATATACATTTACAAATAGATAGTTTAAGGTGATGAATCAAAAATTAAATTCTTTATTCAGCGGCCATTTCATGAATAATTCCACGAGTACTTGTATAATATCAAGCAAATATAATTGAAAAAAAGAATTACAGATTAAAGTAACTAATAAGCATGCAAACAATTCAATTTGTAAAATGATAGTAAGGGAGACCACCAATGAGGATTCAAAATAACAAATTTCTGATGGCATGACAGTTTTCTTGCCAACTGAAACATGTTTTCCCATGTATAATAATTGCTATAGTTTTTTTAGACCTCATGATATTGACAGATAAGTAAATTTATTCCATTTATTCATGTGACTAAATGTATTATATTGTGTATAGTCAATTGTAGATATATTTCCTATATTCTGAGTTTTGCAATTTATTATCCCTAATATTTTATTTTCATTTAGATTTCTTGATATCCAAACGAAGTTATAACTCTCTTATCACTATAGTACACCTACAAGACGGTCTTCTAAAATAGAAATGTCACAGGTGCTCTTAGCAACACATTCATGTCACATGACGTGTCACTACTGATGCAGAAAAATATCCATATCAGCTGATATATTCGTATATATATCCGTTAGGATAAGAATATGATTACTAAATATCTACATCAATAGGATACGATTAAGGGTACGGATATGTAGTAAAATATATGTATGTGTATCCAAAATTATCTGAGTATGTATTGGCCACACAGTTACAAATGTTTTAATCATAGATTAATGGGTTTGGTGTTAATTTTGATGATCAAGAGATCAAATCTTATCTTTTAAGATATAACAAACATATTAATGAACACTTGTTATATTATATGAACTATATTTTTCAATATTATCTGCTTTTCTCATGTCGTTTTCTATTCGCATGTATATACACATATACATCCGCATATATACCAATATTCGCATCTGATTTTCGCGTATATGGTTATGGTAAGTATCATATCTGAGCCGTATCCGAACAGTTTGCACCCCTACATGTTACATATCCACATGACATTTATTTGGATTGATCCTATTAAGCACTAAGCACCTATAAGCCGACCTATCTGAATTTATCCTATTAAGCATTAGCCATCACTCATCGGTGTGTTATTGACAAACACACATATTTGCTATAATGCATCAGACATGTGTAATAAAGAGACTTTAAAAAATAAGAGGTAAAGTAGTACTTACCTAATCCCATGGATACTTCAAACTTCTGAACATGAGGAAATGACCGCTTCAGAGCCTTGTTCCAGAAATTTAAACAACATTCGGCAACTTTCAGTCTTACCATCAAATTGGAATTGAAAGAAGAGGAATTGGCTCCTTATTTGTTGATGATGACTAGTAAGGCCCGTGAAAAACAGATGAGGTTATTTTGAGATTTGTTTGCAAGCAGCTTGAAACCTATAAGAAAGGAAAATTTAGTTGTCAGATAATGACGTGGTATGCATTTAATCAATTTGAAAGAGCTCTAAATCAATTTGAAAGAGCTTGAAACGTATAGCTCTGTTTTGTGTCTAAGCGCCCAAAGAACCAGTTGTTATTGTTCATTGACAACAATCAAACTGAAGTTGACTACAACAATAAGAAAAGATCCTGGGTACAAGGTCCAATTGAGTTACAATTTCAAGATTTTACCTGTCAAAATGAAAAATAAAATAAAACAAAAGCACAAGGACACAGCGGATTTGTTTTGTGAAAAAAAATCTGTCATATTAATGGTGATAATAAATAAAGGGCGGTTAAGGTCAATACCCAACAAAAAAAAAGATTGGTTAAGGTCAAGAAAAAGATGTATGTTTTTGGGAAAACAATAAATAGATACATAAGAAAGCAGGAAACAAGATGTCAAGATTTGCCCTGTCAAAGATAGGGTTAAAGTAAGGAAATATACACCGAAAACATATTTCACAAAACGTGGGCAGATGGAACAATAGAAAACCACAACGAACTGTCTTCTTCCAAATCTTTCATCTGGTGTTTTTACGAGGTCATCTTCCATCAGGCCTAACCTTACTAAACCTTTCTACAATAACTAATTCCACAACAACTGTTTAATGAAATATTTCTTCACAAACTAATTCCTGTTTAAAATGAAAATTAATGCATCAAACATATGAGAAAAAGAGACTTTCTCTTGTGGCAAAATCAACTCAAAAAGAAGTTTTCCAACGTAAGAGGTAGACTAATAAAGATATTACCTAACCTCATAGACACTTCTACCTTCTGAACAGAGAAACTGACCACTTCAATGCATCCTTCCCAAAATTTTAGACAACAAATGTGAAGTTTCACTCTATAAATACCCAGGATAGCATCCATTTATATCATATCAACCAAAGCTTAATTTCTCATTCCTGAAATGGCTTATCATATCCTTTTTCTTACTCTCCTCGCCCTCACCTCCTCTCTTGCAACGGCTTCTGATCCTAGTCAACTGCAGGACTTCTGCGTTGCCGATGATATGTCTCATGGTACTTCAACTTTTTAATTTGTTTTGCATTATAAATAGTATGCCTCTAATTTTTGTTATGTTTACATTGCAGTGTTTGTGAATGGGTTAGTCTGCAAGGACCCGAAACTGGCAGTGGCTGACGATTTCTTCTTCTCCGGCCTTAACATGCCTGGCAACACAAGCAACCGTCTGGGATCGAAAGTAACGCTGGTTAGTGCAGCTAACTTACCAGGCCTCAATACTCTCGGCATCTCCTTGGCAAGACTTGATTTTGCACCCTATGGGCTCAACCCGCCACACACTCATCCACGTGCAACCGAGATCCTAACAGTGCTAGAAGGAACGCTCTACGTCGGATTTGTGACATCAAACCCCGATAACAAACTCTTCACTAAAGTCCTCAACAAGGGTGATGTGTTTGTGTTCCCTCAAGGACTCATTCACTTTCAGTTTAACACCGGTTACACAAATGCTATCGCGATTGCAGGACTTGGTAGCCAGAACCCAGGTGTGATCACGATAGCTAATGCAGTATTCGGAGCAAAGCCTCCTATTTCCGATGATGTTCTAGCCAAGGCATTCCAGATTGACAAGAAGTTAGTGGACTGGCTCCAAGCTCAGTTTTGGATGGACAATAACTAGGACGGTTGGCAAATGCTGATGATCTCTATATATTTCCCGTAGTGTTGGGTTTCAATAAGCAGCATGTTTGCATGTCGTTGGTAAAAATATCTGTTTTGTACTTTGCTTACTCTATAATATAAAAGTTTACTTTGTCTTGAGTTACAATAAGGCTCCAATCTAGGCAACTTAAAGCAGAAGGACAAAGAAAATGTATTCCCTTGATAACCACTGAAGACTGCCTCAAAACACAATTGACTGCATTCAGCAGTTAAAGGACTACAGTTCGATTATTATCCGTTCAGAGCAAAATGGCGACGCATAAAGAAAAATATCACTTTAGACAGTTCTTTAAGAGAAAGGGCACTATCAAAGTATATC